CCATTCACTCTATCGTGGAGTCATGGAATCCTAAAGTTGCCGTGATGCAGGAAAAGCACAACCAAAGCCCTCCCGACAGATGGCCATCCAATCTATCATGGAATCGTGGAATCCTAAAGTTGGAAAGCGGCACCCAAAAGCCATCTAGTCCAACCCATTTCTGCCGTCATGCTAGAAAAACACAATCAAAGACTTCCCAACAGATGGCCATTCACTCTATCGTGGAGTCATGGAATCCTAAAGTTGCTGTAATGCAGGAAAGACACAGTCAAAGCCCTCCCAACATATGGCCATCCAGTCCAAAACCCCTTCTGCCATGATGCAGGAAAAACACAGTCAAAGCCTTCCCGACAGATGGCCATCCAATCTATCATGGAATCATGGAATCCTAAAGTTGCCATGTTGCAGGAAAGACACAATCAAAGCCCTCCCAACAGATGGCCATCCAGTCTATCATGGAATCATGGAATCCTAAAGTTGCCGTGATGAAGGAAAGACACAATCAAAGCCCTCCCGACAGATGGCCATCCAGTCTATCATGGAATCATGGAATCCTAAAGTTGCCATGTTGCAGAAAGACACAATCAAAGCCCTCCCGACAGATGGCCATCCAGTCTATCATGGAATCATGGAATCCTAAAGTTGCCATGATGAAGGAAAGACACAATCAAAGCCCTCCCGACAGATGGCCATCCAATCTATCATGGAATCATGGAATCCTAAAGTTGCCATGTTGCAGGAAAGACACAATCAAAGCCCTCCCAACAGATGGCCATCCAGTCTATCATGGAATCGTGGAATCCTAAAGTTGCCGTGATGAAGGAAAGACACAATCAAAGCCCTCCCAACAGATGGCCATCCAGTCTATCATGAAATCTTTGAATCCTAAAGTTGCCGTGATGAAGGAAAGACACAATCAAAACCCTCCCGACATATGGCAATCCACCCAAAGGCCATCAAGCCCAACCACCTTCTGCTATGATGCAGGAAAAGCACAGTCAAAGCCTTCCCAACAGACGGCCATCCAGCCTATCTCGGTATCATAGAATCGTAAAGGTGGTAAGAGGCACCCAAAGGCCATTCAGTCCAACCCATTTCTGCCATGATGCAGGAAAAGCACAGTCAAAGCTTTCCCAACAGATGGCCATCCAGCCTATCACGGTATCATAGAATCCTACAGTTTGAAAGGGGCACCCAAAGGCCATCCGGTCCAAATCCCTCTGCCTTCATGCAGGAATAACACAATCAAAGCCCTCCCAACAGATGGCCATCAAGCCTATCATGGAATCATGGAATGCTAGAGTTGGAAGGAGCACCCAAAGGCCATCCAGTCCAACCCATTTCTGCTGTGATGCAGGAAAAACACAATCAAAGCCCTCCTGGCAGATGGCCATTCAATCTATTAATAGTTTCCTAAAGTTGGAAAGGGACACCCAAAGGCCATCCAGTACATTCCATTTCTGCCGTTATGCAAGAAAGACACAGTCAAACCCCTCCCGACAGATGGCCATCCAGCCTATCGTGGAATCATAGAATCCTAGAGTTGGAAAGCCAGTCAAACCCCTCCCGACAGATGGCCATCTAGTTTGAGACCACTTTAACGGTACTGGCTCCATGCTTATGTGATTCTGGGAGTTGTAGTTCAACTCTAAGCGCATCTACACTATAGACTGAATGCCTCTGCCCTCCATATTAATTGTTAGAGCTCAATATTATGGGATCCTGGGAGTTCTAGTCTGGTGGAGACACCAACACTCTTTGTTAGACGTGGGAAAAGGCCTTGGGGAACTACAACTCCCTGTTTTCCATAACGTTGAAGCGTCATTCATTTGACAATAGAGATGTGCCATAAGTCTTCGGAGAGGAATTTCAACCAGGGGGGAGGATAGACTAAAGATAAGGATAGACTTGGGGACACCAACTCTTTGTTAGACGTGGGAAAAGGCTTGTGAAACTACAACTCCCTGGTTTCCATAACGTTGAAGCGTCATTCATTTGACAATAGAGATGTGCCATACGTCTTCGGAGAGGAATTTCAACCAGGGGGGAGGATAGACTAAAGATAAGGATAGACTTGGGGACACCAACTCTTTGTTAGACGTGGGAAAAGGCTTGGGAAACTACAACTCCCTGTTTTCCATAACGTTGAAGCGTCATTCATTTGACAATAGAGATGTGCCATAAGTCTTCGGAGAGGAATTTCAACCAGGGGGGAGGATAGACTAAAGATAAGGATAGACTTGGGGACACCAACTCTTTGTTAGACGTGGGAAAAGGCTTGTGAAACTACAACTCCCTGGTTTCCATAACGTTGAAGCGTCATTCATTTGACAATAGAGATGTGCCATACGTCTTCGGAGAGGAATTTCAACCAGGGGGGAGGATAGACGAGGAGGATGGACTAAAGACCTTGGAAAACTACAACTCCCAGGATCCCACTGCATTGAGCCAGAGCAGTTCAAACGATGTCAAACTGCATTCGTCCGAAAGTATAAGGAGAGAGATTTTTTAAAAATCTATACATCTCAATGGTGAAATAGATGAAGTGCCTTGGGAAACTACAACTCCCAAGACTCCGCAGCATGGAGACAAGGCCTTTAAAGGGGCGCCAGGCCGCATTCCTCCACTCAAGTCTCTCTAGGGCCAACTTTTTAAAAGTACACAGGCTTCTCCCATTGGGAGAACAAGCCCGGGCAAAAATCGGAAAGGTATTTTAATAGGAGTGTTAAAGGAATTCTAGTTCGTCTCTTTAAACTCTGTAGGAAAACGTAGATTTGACGTGATGCGTAAGACTTGGAGGAGCCAGCGGAGATTTCAAATGATGCACACAGTATGAAAAGCCATACAAGTAAATGCACTAGATTTTGTCCTTGTAATAACTTGAAAATAATAATAATAATAATAATATCTCTAGAAAGAGACTTATTGTTTTCTAAGTACCACCATACTTATATAATAGAATATAATACTAATAATATATAATAATATAGTAATGTAGTAATAATAGTTACTTTATATTATATAATAGAATATAATGCTAGTAATATATAGTAATATTATAATAGTAATACTTATGTATTAAATATAATTACTATATAATATATAATAGAATATAATACTAATAATATAATATATAATATAATACTAATAATATATATATAATATTGTAATATAGTAATACTAATATAATTAATATATATATACTATAATATAATTAGTAGTAATATTTAATATATTAGTATTTTATTACTAATAATATTGGTAATAATATTACATATAGCACATTATTACTATTACTAATTGATGATAGATATATATAATATTGTAAAACAGTAATACTAATATAATAAATATATATAATATAATATAATTAGTAGTAATATTCAGTATATTACTATTTTATTATTAATAATACTGGTAATAATATTATATATAGCATATTATTACTATTACTAATTGATGATATATATATAATATAATGTAATATAATATAATTAGTAGCAATATTCAATATATTAGTATTTTATTACTAATAATATTGGTAATATTATATATAACATATTAGTACTATTACTAATTGATGATAGATATATATAATATAATGTAATATAATATAATTAGTAGTAATATTTAATATATTAGTATTTTATTACTAATAACATTGGTAATAATATTATATATAGCATATTATTACTATTACTTATTGATGATAGATATATATAATATTGTAAAATAGTAATACTAATATAATAAATATATACAATATATACAATACAATATAATATAATTAGTAATATTTAATATATTAGTATTTTATTACTAATAATATTGCTAATAATATTATATATAGCATATTATTACTATTACTAATTGATGATAGATATATATAATATTGTAAAATAGTAATACTAATATAATAAATATATACAATATATACAATACAATATAATATAATTAGTAATATTTAATATATTAGTATTTTATTACTAATAATATTGCTAATAATATTATATATTGCATATAATTACTATTACTAATTGATGATAGATATATATAATATTGTAAAATAGTAATACTAATATAATAAATATATACAATATATACAATACAATATAATATAATTAGTAATATTTAATATATTAGTATTTTATTACTAATAATATTGCTAATAATATTATATATTGCATATAATTACTATTACTAATTGATGATAGATATATATAATATTGTAAAATAGTAATACTAATATAATAAATATATACAATATATACAATACAATATAATATAATTAGTAATATTTAATATATTAGTATTTTATTACTAATAATATTGCTAATAATATTATATATAGCATATTATTACTATTACTAATTGATGATAGATATATATAATATTGTAAAATAGTAATACTAATATAATAAATATATACAATATATACAATACAATATAATATAATTAGTAATATTTAATATATTAGTATTTTATTACTAATAATATTGCTAATAATATTATATATTGCATATAATTACTATTACTAATTGATGATAGACTCTTTTTATTCCTGTATATTCCAAGAATTCTTGTATATTCTTGTATATTCCAAGTTGCAATGTTTTTTTTTTATTCTGGGCTGCTTTGAACTTTTAATATAAAGTGGGATGTAAAATAGTATCCTGTGCGCATGCGCACCGCGTTTGGGCTCCTCAAGGAGGCTCAGCAGCTCCCTCCCAAAGAAAGAGATCCCTCCGCCACACTCACACACAGAAAAAAGTTTGACGCGAAAGAGTCCGCGAGGGAGAAGTTCCTTTTCTCACCCTCGAACGAAGCGGAGAAGAGGAAGAGCGGAGTGTCTTGCTTCGTTGTGACTTTTCAGTCTTTTGGGTCATTTCGGGATTGAGAAACGTGGCGGGTTGGGGGTCCTGAGGCGGAAGGATCCTGTGTCGAAGCACCCCCTCTGAGAGGGCGTCCCGAGCGCTTCCTTCGCCTCAGTCAGTCAGTCCGGCGCTGCAGAGGAGACGGACGGGTGCCTGGAAGGGAGGCTGCGCAGGAATCAAGAGAGACTTGGAAAAGGAGGAGGAGAGAAGAGTTGGGGAAGAAGAGAAGGAGGAGGAGGAGGGATGCGGCGGCCCTTGGGCTCCTCGCTGCTGCTGCTGCTTCTTCCTGCCCTGGCCACAGGTAGGAGGCAGCAGGCTCATTTGGGGCCTCCCTACTCCCTCTAGGGGGTTGGGACTACAACTCCCACCATTCCTCACAGCCTCAGGACCCTTCCTTTCCCCCCTCAGCCGCTTAAGGGGCAGGGGGGAAAGGAAGGGGCCTGAGGCTGTGAGGAATGGTGGGAGTTGTAGTCCCCACCCCCTGGAGGGGCCAAACTTGGCCCAGGTCTGGGAAAGAGGAGAAGGGAATGAATAGGGCTGCAATGGGAGGAGGGGGGGATCAATAGAGCTGCAATAGTGGGGTATCAATAAAGGAATGCATAGGGGAAATCAATAAGGCTGCAATAGGGGAAGGAATAAGGTATCAATAGGGTGGTAATAGGGGAATCAATAGAAGTATCAGTAGGGTACTAATAGGGGAATCAATAGAAGTATCAATAGAGTGGTAATAGGGTATCAGTAGGGTAGTAATAGGGGAATCAATAGGATGGTAATGGGGTATGAGTAGAGTAAAAATAGTAGAATCAGTAGCAGTATCAATAGGGTGGTAATAGGGTATCGGTAGGGTACTAATAGGGGAATCAATAGAAGTATCAATAGGATGGTTATAGAGTATCATTAGGGTGGCAATAGGGGAATCAATAGGATGGTAATGGGGTATAAATAGAGTAATAATAGAATCAATAGCAGTATCAATAGGGTGGTAATAGGGTATTGGTAGGGTACTAATAGGGGAATCAATAGAAGTATCAATAGAATGGTGAATCAATAGAAGTATCAATACGGTGGTAATAGGGTATCAGTAGGGTAGTAATAGGGGAATCAATAGGGTGGTAATAGGGTATCAGTAGGGTAGTAATAGGGGGATCAATAGAAGTATCAGAAGGGTGGTAATAGGGGAACCAATAGAAGTATCAGTACAATGGTGAATCAATAGAAGTATCAATAGAATGGTGAATCAATAGAAGTATCAATACGGTGGTAATAGGGTATCAGTAGGGTAGTAATAGGGGAATCAATAGGATGGTAATGGGGTATCAGTAGGGTAATAATAGTGGAATCAATAGGTTGGTAATAGGGAATCTAGGGTCATAATAGGGGAATCAATAGAAGTATCATTACAGTGGTAATAGGGGAATCAATAGAAGTATCAGTAGGGTGGTGAATCAGTAGAAGTATCAATAGGATGGTAATATGGTATCAGTAAGGTAATAATAGGGGAATCAATAGAAGTATCTATAGGGTGGTAATATGGTATCAGTAGGGTAGTAATAGGAAAATCAATAGAAGTATCAATAGGATGGTTATAGGGTATCAGTAGGCAGTAATAGAAAAATCAATACGCGTATCAATAGGATGGTAATATGGTATCAATAGGGTGCTAATAGGGGAATCAATAGAAGTATCAATAGGGTGGTAATAGAGGAATCAATAGAAGTATCAATAGGGTAGTAATAGGGGAATCAATAGGGCTGCAATAGAGGTATCAATAAAGGAATTAATAGGGTAGCAAATAGTGAAATTCATGGGGGAACTCAATAAGGCTGCAATAAGGGAATGAATAAGGTATCAATAGAGTAGTAGTAGGGGAATTAATAGGGTGGCAATCGGGTAGCAATAGAAGTATCAATAGGGAAATGAATAGATGTATGAATAGTCTAGTAATAAGGTATCAGTAGGGTAGTAATAGGGGAATCAATAGAAGTATCAGTAGGGGAGTAATAGGGGAATCAATAGAAGTATCAGTAGGGGAGTAGTAGTAGCCAGAGGCTGTTAGGAATTGTGGGAGTTGGAGTCCAAAACACATGGAGGGCCTAAGTTTGCCCAGGCCTGCTCTAGGGAGATAAACAAAGTATATTATTATATTATTACTAATATTCCCAAGGTTTTGGGGCCAAGTTTGGAGATTTTGGAATGTTTCTGTGCATAGATAATAGATAGAGAGATGGATTTATATTGTGATGTGAGTTTTCTGGGCTGTATGGCCATGTTTTGGACGTCGGGTGGATTTTGGAAGGAGAGGTCTTGCACATGGGACCTAAAGTCGAAATGTAAATGTAATCTAAAGTCTAGATGTAGGTTGAGAGTCATTTTGTGCAAAAAATATGCCGACTGATGGACTCCGAACAAGGAATTTTCCTTGGAAATCTCTTGTATTCTCGGTTTGGACTTTTGGTGTTTTTAAGTCTCTCTTTGGTAACACACAAAGGAAGGAAACATGTCTTTTTCTTCTTCCTTTGTGTGTGTATGTTTTCCTTCCTTCCTTTATATATATATCTGTACAGCCGCTTTGGTTAGTTGGGTGAAACACATCAGACCGGATCAGCTACTTTGCATGGCTTTTGTGTATGTGTGTGTGTGTGCAAGAATTTAAGAGCCCTGGAGGGAGAAAGCTTTGAAAGACTTGGCCGCCTTGAAGGAAACTGCCACTGAAAGAAAAGTTGGGTTGTTGTGAGTTTTCCAGGCTGTCTGGAAAACATGTTCCAGAAGCATTCTCTCCTGACATTTCGCCCACATCTATGGCAGGCATCCTCAGAGGTTGTGAGGTCTGTTGGAAACTAGGAAAATGGGGTTTATATATCTGTGGAATGATGTCCAGGGTGGGAGAAAGAACTCTTGTCTGCTTGAGGCAAGCATGAATGCTGCAATTGGCCACCTTGATTAGCATTTAATGGCCTTGCAGCTTCAAGATCTGGCTGCTTACTGCCTGTTTATATATTTGTAGAATGTCCAGGGTTGGAGAACGAACTCTTGTCTGTTTGAGGTAGGAGTGAATGTTTCTATTGGACATGTTGATTAGGATTTAATGGCCTTGCAGCTTCAAGGTCTGTCTGCTTACTGCCTGTTTATATATTTGTAGAATGTTCAGGGTTGGAGAAGGAACTCTTGTCTGCTTGAGGCAAGCGTGAATGCTGCAATTGGCCACTTTGATTAGCATTTAATGGCTTAGCAGCTTCAAGATCTGGCTGCTTACTGCCTGTTTATATATTTGTAGAATGTCCAGAGTTGGAGAACGAACTCTTGTCTGTTTGAGGTAGGAGTGAATGTTTCAATTGGACATGTTGATTAGGATTTAATGGCCTTGCAGCTTCAAGGTCTGGCTGCTTACTGCCTGTTTATATATTTGTGGAATGTCCAGGGTGGGAGAAAGAACTATTGTCTGTCTGAGGTTGGAGTGAATCTTGCCATTGGCCACCTTAATTAGCATTAAATGGCATAGCAGTTTCAAGGTCTGGCTTCTTACAGTAAATAAAGAACAAACTCAAAAACAGGGGAATTCCAGACAAGAAACAAATCAGGGCCAGCTAATCACCTCCCAACAAAGGATTCCCCCAGGCAGGAAGAAGCCAGGCCTTGAAGCAAGGGGGGGGGGGTAATATATCTGTGGAATAATGTCCAGGGTGGGAGAAAGAACTCTTGTCTGTTGGAGGCAAGTGTGATTGTTGCAATTGGCCAGCTTGATTAGCATTGAATGGTCTTGCAGCTTCAAGATCTGGCTGCTTACTGCCTGTTTATATATCTGTGGAATGTCCAGGGTGGGAGAAAGAACTCTTGTCTGTTGGAGGCAAGTGTGATTGTTGCAATTGGCCAGCATGATTAGCATTGAATGGCCTTGCAGCTTCAAAGCCTGGCTGCTTACTGCCTGTTTATATGTCCGTGGAATGTCCAGGGTGGAAGAAAGAACCGTTGTCTGTTGGAGGCAAGTGTGAATGTTGCCATAGGCCAAATAGATTAGAACTGAATGGCCTTGCAGCTTCAAAGCCTGGTTGCTTCCTGATTGGGGGAATCCTTTGTTGGGAGGTGTCATCAGGCCCTGATTATTTCTTGTCAGGAAGCAGCCAGGCTGTGAAGCTGCAAGACTAACCAATGCTAATCAAGGTGGCTAATTGCAACACTCACACTTGCCTCTAGCGGACAAGAGTCATTCCACAGATATATAAATCCCACTTGCCTAGTTCCTAACAGATGTCACAACCTCTGAGAATGCCTGGCATAGATGCAGGCCAAACATCAGGAGAGAGTGCTTCTGGAAGATGTCCAGACCATCCAGAAAACTCACAACCACCCAGTAATTCTGGCCATGAAGGCCTTCGATAATAGAAAGAAAAGTTGGGTTGTTGTGTGTTTTCTGGGCTGTATTGCTATGTTTCAGAAGCATTCTCTCCTGACGTTTTTCCTACATCTATGAAGAAAAGTTCCTTTTTTCCAGATCACAGTTTGTAGTCAAGAGAAAGGAGCGTTTCAAGTGTTTGATAACACACCGAATTAGCAACCGAGTGGATTTGTAAAGAAGCCCAAAGATCCTCATTCATGTTGCTTGTTTACACTGAATGTTTTGCATACAATCCTTTGCAAAAGTGCCCTCGCTAACCTCAGCTTTGCAACTGTTGCGATGTTTGTTTTATTGGGAGAGAGAGAGAGATACTATATTTCCTGGCGGAGAAGGGTTTAATTAGGAAGTTGCATTGCTTGTCGGCTGAAGGATATTTTTTGTTCTATTTTGTGGACGTGCGTCAGATTTCCTGTATTCACGGCCTCCTCTCGTTCACCGTCCTCTTCTTCCTCTTGGGTCCTTTTCTGGCGTATTTTCGCCCTTTGCTGCATAGTCGAGCTTTCCAAACCTACAAAAACTTTGCTGGAGAAGGCTTAGCCTAGAAAGCAAAGATTTAGAGACATGGCTGCAGAATTTTGGAAGCTGCAGAACTTTGAAAAAGTTTTGAAAAGTTGCTTCCTTTGCGGACTTTTTGGAGTTAATGCTCCTTTTGTGGAGCACATGGGCCTTTCTCTATAGTTTAGTGTTGTGCAAGTTTACAACCCTGCGAGAGTTGTAAACAGAGGTGCCTCCCTCACCTCAATGCACTTTTCTTGCTCAGCCGGGGACAATGGCTCGGCGTATGTGTGTGTGCGCGTCCCTGTGTACACATTTGAGGTGAGGCCTCTAATCCTTTCGGGTGTAGGTGTCGAAGACGTGCAGTCATTGAGCCTGCGGGCAGAAGGGCAAAAAAGCAGCCCAAAACACAA